TCAACCTGATGTAAAAAGATAATCAAGAGAATTTTTCTTGTTGATTTATTTATTTTTATTTGATTAGCAAGAAAGTAAATAGTTCATCTAACTCAGCACCCGCGAAAGTGGGGGGTGTGCACTCCCACCCCCACCTCAATAATTGAAAATTATTCATTATTAGCCAGCAAAGTGGATGAGTTTTTTTGAACTTTTAAAGTATCCTCGCTGTTAGAGGTTTTTTGGACATCTCCCAAAAGGATTCTGAGTAGAGAGGGGAGTCAGGGGATGACCTTTCCCGAATAATTATAAACTATAGTTGGGATGTCGGTGAAAAACATGAAGTTCTATGGCAAGTTCCCAGATCGAACAGTACCGGCCGGTTCTGGCAGGAAAACATCGGAAATAGCCGGAACATGGAAGCAGTATTCCGGCCGGAAATTTTCGGAATCTTTTCTGATGATTTTCCGCTCGGTTCTTGCCTGAAAACACAGGAAATTGGTCGGAATTCACCGGAAAAAATCCGGAGAATTTCTGGCCGGAATACTGCTTCCATGTTCTGGCTATTTCCGGTGTTTTTCTGCAGAATACGGTGATTTTTCCCACATTTTCCTGCTGGTTCTTGCAATATCCGGTGGCCGGAACGATGGACCTGGGTTGAAGAAATCAGATGGTTTTTTTCCTCGAAACCCAGTGTAAAACGATGGTTTTTCTAGAAAATTCTGAGATACTAAAATTTGTCGCTTCGCGAAGAAATAACCATATGAGCATATTCGGCCTAAAAATGTCTATGATTTTTCTATTTTTATGACAATTTTACGGTTTTCTACCTAGTGAGCAGCTTCATTTTCAAGCAATCATCACTAGATGGCCGTCTTCGGCGGCAAAATTGTTACGACTTATCGCAACACTCTTTCCTTTCGAAAAAATAAGAAAAAGACGAGTTTTTCATAAGTCTGAGAAAAGTTTTCGTTTCGTGAAAAATAACAGTTGCGTAATCACAGTTAACTTAGAAAAACTTCCAACTTAAGTCGATTTTCCCTTTGAAAGACCAGATCGAGAATAATCGTCACCAGCGTGGCCGCCTTCGCCGGCCGAATTGTTGAGAAATTTTCTTACATTGGATATGATTTGTCTTGTTGAAAATTTGCCCGAGAAAATCGAATTTTTTAAGAAGGTTGCAAAAAGTTTTCGCTTTGCGAGAAATTGTTACATTTTAGGTTGCAAGAGAAACATTAATATCAGATCTAAAGCGAAAAAATATCAGGTGCGTAGGTAGAAGTTTTCTAAGAGGAGGAACCAGGGTTCCAAAGGGGACTATCATGGTAAAAAGAAAATTTCGCTTCGCGAAAATTTAACTCTGTACCCTACCAGGAAATTTTTCTTGGAAGGGGACCGATCCTCTTTCCCCTTGGCTGCGCCACTGAAAAAAATTTTGCTTCGCCCAAGCTTAGCTGCCTCAGGACACATTACACCTCCCCCCCCCCCCAACCCTGGGACCTTCGCGCGGGACCTGATCTAATCTACCAAAATAGAATCATATAAACGGGGCTAAATTCATATAAAAATACTTTTATCCATTGAAAATACTTATAAAAGCGCATTATTTGAAATTTATCGTCGAAAATATGTATAAGTGAAGTAATTGACATGTACAAGCTTTTGTATTGAGATATCTCTTTCTAATTAATATGTGAGACATATAATATTTTGTGTGGAAAATCAATATTTAAAATACAAATTACTGCTAGACATAAAGAAATCATATCAGATAAAAGTTTTTCTTTAATAGGTAATGACAAGCGAATAATTCTATGTAGAAAAATTATACTAAGTCAAATTAAAATTATTATTATCAAATAATTTCCATTTCGTCATTGGCCTCTATGTTCTCTTTACTGAAAGATGAAATGTCTTTCTAAGTTAACACTTTTCGAATCATAGCGACACCATTATTTGTGAGGAAAAGTCTATCTTTTAATTGAACTAACAAGTGACGGACAAAAAAAGTAAAATATATCTAGGTCGTTAAACATGTTTCTTTTCTTTCCAAAGAATGTTGTAACTTGTCTTATCTATTTCCAGTTATGTTGCCGAATGACTATGGACGAGAGAAAATTATTGTATAATGTATGCGTGTTGGCGTGTTAAAATCATTTTGTTCTTCTGAGAGAGTTTGTTTACATTACTAAAATGAATCATTGTTATCTGCTTGCTTAACTGAACTTTTCTTTTCGGTTTGTTCTCATTCTACCATTTAATCTAACATAACTCTCGTCTAGCTTATTACGTTTTAGTGCTTGGTTCGATCGTCTATTTATTTCGTTTCCCTATTGAATCTCAATGACTCATTCGATATACAGAATCCAGTACTGCAACAAGACAATTCATCTATTTCAGACTGCGACATTACAAGCCGAATGTAACGAAAAAATAAATTGGTCATTTATACGAGTTTCTCTTGAAAGTATCAATACAGCAAAAAAAACCGACGGCCATTATAGAATGATATAGACCTGTAAGCTTGTTTATCAGATACGAAATAGACTACATACGACAATGTTTTGGCTGAAATGGCTATCTAAGCATTTCATTATCAATTTTCAACCGAGTGCACCGCAAGGTTACGCTTGTCACAATTATGTAAAAACCATTGCGTTTTACAATATAAAAAAACACTGAATAACTTTATGAACGATGAAAATGCATCGTGAACATGAGCATTAGTTGCATAGGTAAAGTGTTTTTTTCTTCCCGGCGAAATTATCTTCCATACAAGTCAAATGCTTACTGATAAATATTGCAGTTGTTTTTACTCGAAATCCTAGTATCAGTATTGATGTCATCATCCCACACTTCCAAAAATAATTGGCGATTGATAGTCTTTACTTATTTGCATACTTATCTTTTCGTTTTATCGTATTTTCTTTGAATAAAATTGTTTTAAACGTTCCTTCAATAGCTTTTCCTTACTAGGCATAAAACAGTATTATGGAAATAAAGCAAACGGATTTGTGTGATTTAAAACAGTCGTTTGAAAATCTGGAATAGCATCAAAATGATGACAAAATAAGGATCTTGTTAAAAAAAAACATCTATTTGAAATATGATGGTCTAGAAATAGATAGTTTGTGTCTTTTGATGATGTCGATGTTTTTTTTTGTTCATTGATATAATATCTTGTTACTGGTGATTGTTGCTCTAACGCAATCTAACTTTTAACAAAAGAGCATAGAATAACAAAATTGTCCAATGAACAGATTATGATAGTCATATCTTAAGTCAACCCTCTAGAATTTTCTTATTCAATACATTTTGTAGAGTAATTCTTACTTTTTAGATGTTTTTTATCATATTGAAGAGATGTTAGAAGATAAAAATATTGCATTGTATTAGGTTTTTGCACAAACTATAATGCTATCTAAAATACTTGCATCAAATGAACCATAACCACATCATGAACATGATCTGATTTTACCACGATACAATAAAACCATTTACAATTCATTTATGAAGTTCTAAAACAATTGTATTTATTTCTTCTATTATTCTAGCTTTCGTGAATGACAGCAATAATCGAACTCAGCCAATTAAATATGTTTTCATTTGTAAGTACTTTGATTGAAGTCATATATGTCCCTAACAAATTTGTTCGCTCCACACGAGTTCTTTTAACTTTTTGTCTCTTAATGATTTTAGTTATAATTCAATTAATAGGCTAATGATTTTATTGATAGACAGTAGGTGCTTGTGTGCCATCTTTAGGATAAATATATAGATTAACAGTATCTAGACTTTATTCAATCAAAATTAAGTAAATTAAGTCGATTGAATTGATCCAATTAATATTCTTTTTGAAAAACTCATATACTATCTATACACTATGGGTATGGATTGTGGTTGAGTCTGTTCATGTGTGGTCGTAGCTCTTAGTAAGAATATGAATGTGGGCGAAGTGAAAATCTACACCAATTCTCATAGCCACTCCCAACTCTAGACCCTTTTATTTTCGTATTATGTTCTTGTGTGCTATTGCTCATGTTTCTTTCAATCAAGCAAATTTTAGATGATTAATCAATTAACAAAATATCTTATTAATTTGCGCCTAGAAATTAGTTACTGTCGATCATAGAGGAAACGAATTGGGCCTATCATCTTATTATAAAGCATTTTTATATTTCAGAATCTAATGAAATTTTTTAGACATTTAGAAGTAATTTTACAATGATGGATTTAGTGAGTAATTAGTTTATTGGTCAGTGATGTTATTTTTTTCAATCAAATAAGCTTTATTACAAAGATCTTAAAAAATATTTATTACTTCGCGTGGATGATATGTTTATTGCTCGAAGTTAATAATGTATTAAGGTTAGTATGAAATCTTATTGCATTATTGTCTGTTGAAAGAAATTCGAAACGAATTTTCTATTTCGGATGTCTTTCAACGAAACTAAGTTATTCTGAAAGCGAATAACTTATTTCGGCGATTAGTGGTAACGATGTCCAGCATCAGCACTTATAAGTTGAAAGTAAATTGAGTGCTATACAACGGGAAAGATGGCAGCGATTGTGGAATTTGTAGCGACGCTGTTTTTTTTCTAACCTTAAGCAAAGTATTTGATAGAAAAAAAGTTAGCTGATGATGTGTTAGTTTTGCTACTGAAAATGATTCTATGTCATTGGTTTTGTTGTTCACATATATGTCCGCTGAGTATAAATGTATCACTATTCGCCATTTCAACATAGTATCAATTTTTTTTCTATTCAGTCTTTCATCTAATCAACTGCGTATATGAATGATTGAGAGACAACAATAATAAAGAGCATATATATATATATGTGTCACAGGCAAAATTACTTTTTTCTTTTGGCGCTTCTATCAAATTCAACTTTGACCAGGCAGACTTCGTTCTCTGTTCGTGATTATTTTATATCATCTAACTACCAATTTCCTTCATTTTCATAGACAAACTTTATTGAGTGTTAAATAGTTTTCGATGTTTTCCTTTGCAATATCAACAATGACATTACAACAATCAACTTATTCTCATCCTATTATCAATGCTTTTGCACGTGAAAAATTTTATGAACTTGCTAAAAAACATATTGATACATTAAATCTTAAATTTTGTAATAAAGCTGTTATCACTTGTGTTCAAAGTAAACAAAGAATTAATGTAGTTCAGAACAAGCTATCTACTGAAAAGGTTTCCGGTCGCTTTTCTCACTGATGCAAACAAATGTTCACGCTTTGTCTTATCGCTGGTCATCAACTTTTATGTGACTTCAAAGAAGTTAAACCTGTTCTTTCATACGAAGACATATACTATTTTTATCAAACAAGTCATAGCATGTCATAGAAATTTTCCTTTCTTTTAGACAGTCACCCTATTTCAACTGGTTCTTCTTCAGAATACACGCCCTATGCCCACATTGACTGGCACGACAACGAATGGGGGTGAAGGAGTGTGCGTATTTTGAAGAAGTACCTCTCAACCCATTTTCATCCCTTGCTCGAGAAACATTCGATTCTTTTAGACAATCACCTCACGTCAATCCATTTTCATCAAAACAGGGCATACAGATACTGTAAATAAAAAACTATTTACTCATAATAAAATTTAACAAATCATCAAAGTCCCCATGTCCCCATCATCGAAAAAAAATACAAATTCATCATAGAAAAAAAAATTACTCATAATAATATTTTATGAATCATCAATGTCCCCATGTCCCCATCATCAAAAAAAAAATACAAATTTATCATAGAAAAAAAAATTACTCATAATAATATTTCATGAATCATCAATGTCCCCATCTCCCCATCATCAAAAAATGACTAATATATTATTACATAAAAAAATACTACGCGTCTTATATCTTTGTCATTAAATAAACTACAAAAAACTTTAAATTTGAATAAACAAATGGACTTATATCTTTATAATAAATACCTTTTTTTACAAAATCAAAACTAGCAATTTCAATCTCAACTAGATTCCAAACTCACCTCCCATATCTATATTCAAACAAACTCAAAATGATTTTTTCATCTAATACTAAAGTAATTAAAAAGGGTGATGAAGAATACTGAAGCCTCCATATTAATTTTTTCTTTAATCTCATTTATGTAGAGAGCTAATTTTGATTAGACAAAATCATATCCAATATTTTCAAAAAAAAATTCTATCTTTAGTTCAATTCTGCCTGAATACCAAATTTGCCTGACACATATACATATATAGAGTGAAAGAGCCTAATTCCAATACCGTTTTTGTATATTTTTTTAGTAAAATCGCTATGTTTTTGCTTTCATATATTCGTTTGAACAGATTTTTGAGTTGTGGAATGGATCAAACATTACTCTATCTACTCATGGAACTTGCATTCGAAATAACTTGGTTTTAAATGAACAGGAATCGTTACAGAAAGACCTACTTTCAGCTTTTTTCGTTGTGTTTATATTCTAATTCCATCATATCAAGAGAAAGTACACAGATCTCATGAAAAAAAAACAGATTTTTCGATTGTAAAACTGCTACCATTTTGGTCAAAGTTCACATCATTCAATTCGCCACATAAATTCCGTCGGTTGATGTCCTTTCCATTAATCTCAAATGTAATCTTTATCTCTTTTTTCTGAGAACAATCGAATTATAGGCGTGATGCAATCAAGTCATGTATCTTAATCCCATCATTTCACTTGTTCCTATTTTCTAATTTCACCATATAATAGAATATACATGGAAAGTTGTTTATGATCAGAAAAAAAGATGTTGACGCCACACAAAGTACTGAATTTCATTGAACAGCCGATACAAAAAATGTAGCTTAACTGAAGGTCTATCTGTACGTGCAAAAGACAGCAGTTTTTTCACCTACCATTTCTTGAATTTATTATTGTCAAAAATAGTGCATTTTGTATGATTTCTAGTTCTGCATAAAACATTTTTATCATTGACCTGTAACAAGAATCATTGGTTCACACATAGAAATGTGGAAAAAACAAGTATTCGTCCCTCTATCGGATCAGAACAATCTGATTATTTTACAAACTACTTAATCAGTGGATCCAATAAAAATTAACGTACATCTATGTGTTACAAATTAGCTTATAGCAAGTATTATTTGGGTAATTAGACAGTCGAAGAAACATTTGTTCTTTCATCATTATTGTTACTATTGTTAGAAAGAATCATTTCTCGAAATGTCAAAATTGTTAAGCCCTTACCAATGCCGTATCAAGCAATCTTGTCATTAAAACGGTTGCAATCAAGTTTAACGTCCCTGCAAGCACTATTCGTCAGCATCATCGTGAATCGTATCTCGATGTTCGCGCTGGTCGTTCTTCATACATGACTATTGATTAAGAAAGCTACTGTGTCTTTCAACTACAACACCTTTCGAACTATAGTGTCGAGATGACAAAAGACTTCACTCTTTAACCGACTGTCGAGTATTTTCAATCTCTTAATTTGACTATAGAGCTTGGTTGAAGAATGGTTCAATTCAAGCGTCAACCGACATGCTGAACATTTCTACTTGAAAAACAACAAGAAAAAATTGGGAAAGCACATGTCAATGCATTTTGTTGGATAACACTAATCGGAATGGTTTATAACACTTAAAGACGTATCGGTGAGACACAATCTTCTTGATAAACCAAACCGAACCAAATATATAACGTGGATGATTTTAGGTTCTCGGATAAAACAAAAGGTAAGTGGATCTGAATTTGCTGACTTAACAAGTTTATTATTCTCATTAGTAGGTCAATGGCTCATAGTCAATTCTATTTATCAGCATGTCTTCGAAGCACATGGCGGAACTGATAAAGCATATTACAGTGCTCTCATCTGCATCAATACTAATGGTTAAGTACTATCGCCATTTCTTCTCTGCACAGGTAAACACCTAAGAAGTACCTGATGCAATGGATGTCTGGCGGGAGCCCATTACGACATTAGAAAGTAAGTAGGGTTGTATAAAAAAACACTTTTCGAATATTTCGGCTCTCCATATTCAATAATTGTTTTTGATTGATAACCATCTTATCTGTTTCAGAACTGGATTGATACGTATATGTACGAGTATTGGCTCGAGTATTTATTAATTTTCTTAACGACTCAGCTGAATTGTTCACTTTTGCTGGTCATCGGCGGCCACGCTTCACATATCAGCTAAAAAAATCATCAATCTTATGAAAATCAATCAAAACTTGTTTTAATTATTACCAGGTCACTTATCACAAGCTATGCAACTGCTAGGTGTTGTCGTCTTTAACTTTGTGAAACACGATGGGTCGAAAATAGCTAAAAACCACCTGAAAGATGATGATAAACCGATAGAAAATAATGATATTCCTCGACTAATCAATAAACTGCAGACTGACAAAGGCACTCTCTCATCTACACGAATTGTTTCTTCTTTTGGACGTGCTGGGAAGTAGATTCTATTAGATTCCAATTGGCTAAAGTGCTTAGATATATGCACAGGTATTTGATCTATTCACGGAAATGCAATGCGTTACAAATTTGCTTATAATATAATTGGACTTTCGACAATTACATCAATTAGTATACATCTCTTCTAACAAATATTCTTCAACCTCGTTTGATGTCTTCAACATCACCGGTTTTATCATCTTCCACAATATTATCCTCGTTTTCTTCTTTATCATCTTATTCATCGACTGTATTCACCATTAAATCTGTCGATGTTTCCACGAACACAAATCCATTGGGTTCGTCTTCAATATAAAATGTATTTAATCCAATTACTCTTTTGCAACCCGCAATTGTTGTGAAGAAAAATGATCTAATTCATTTAGCTTCTACTTCGTTGTACATTACTTTGCAATCATATCCTCTTGATCTCATACTAGTTCATGATAAAAAAACGAAAAAAAATTTGGACAAAGCCTCAAATATTTTATAAATTGCTTCAATCGCCGGCCGCAGACGGTAGGTGGTTGTTTATCTTGTAAAAAACGCATGTATTTATTCTACATTTAGATACATCTTATGTTTTCTCTTCTACTGCTATCATCACGATTGGTCGAGTAATAGACATTCTACTCTTTCAAGGAATAAGAGAATTACAAAAAAAATGAGTGTGAAAATGACGACACCTCATGAAGAACGATTAATAAGTAGTCTCAGACAAAGTATTATCGACAATGAATATTTTTCTGATGATAATAAAGGAGAACGAAAAGAGTAAGCTTCAAAATAAAAAATCTCGATTACCAAAACATCCTAACACTACCTTTACATCCAGCTCGACAACAATAACAGTGATAAAACACATAGGGCACCCTTCGAAGAAGGATACTGACAATAATCAGCACACTTATTCAAATGATGGTGAAGTCGAAGCCAACATTTGCTCTTTTCAATTGGCGATCAGTATGACCAACTCTGTTCTCGACAGCTATCATACAGATCGAATGTTCGACTAATCATTGCACTATTGCGTATTTAAAAAAAACGACGGGTGGGTATTTTTTGAATAACTTTTGATAGAAGCAAGATAAAGAGCTGTGGTTGTTACCGTTGAAAAGAGGAGCTGGAGACGCATCGAACTGTACATTATAGAATAAGATGAGCTAGTTTTTTCAAGGACTTAAATTGATGTTTTTGAAAGCTAACATACTCCGTAAGTTGACCAAGGCCAATTTCTAATAATCAGGTGCGCATTGGAACCGCTAAATAAAGATCTACAAAAT